CCCCACAGCAGATCTGGGGAGCCAAAGGCAGTTGGGATTCAGGATCTGGGGGTCTTTCCTTCTCCATGACATCCCCAAGCCCCCTCTCACCTTTCCAGTTATGAACTTCTGGGCCATGCGGATGATGAGGTAGGCCCAGAAGATGTGCAGCGACTGCAGCACCACCATCATGAAGTTGAAGAAGTAGTAACCAAAGAAAGCAGGGTAGAGATCCAGCGGATAAACCATCGTGCAGTGCATGATCCTGCCAGGAAAAGCCACTCCTGTCACTGAGGCTCCCCCAGCCCCTGCCTCAGTTTCCCCCGTTCCCCAGCAGAGCTCACCAGAAGGGGAGGATGACCAGGCGGGTGATGATGAAGACGGCGGCGAAGACGATGAAGATGTTGTTGCAGGTGTTCCTCCACCCGGCGTAGTTGAACATTTTGGCAGACTGGGGGGGGGAAAGGGGGTGAGCAGGGCAGGGGGCACAGGATGGGGCAGTGGTGGCAGCAGGGCAGGGGGACACACCAACCTCCAGCAGGTAATCCGAGGAGTCGTGCAGGGCCATGATGAGAGTCCCGGCACGGACGTAGTTGGCAAACCAGGAGAAGCTGATGAGGATGATGGTGGCAACGTGGTGGATGATTTGCTCTTTGAAGTCCTGTGCCCAAAGCAAAGGGAAGCTCAACAAAGGGAGGGTTACAGCAAACCCCCATCCCACAGCCCCTGGGCTTCTCCCACCTTCCAGAGGCTCCAGTTACCCACAACACAACGGGTTCCCTTCAAGAAATGAGCTTTTCTTGCTTTTTCCTGCTCCTGTGCCCACATCCTCCCAGCTGCTCCCTCCTGCCCACCACGAGGGTGAAGAAAACCCTGCTGAGATGTCCCAGTGTCCCCCAGCCCATCCCAGTGTCCCCCAGCCCATCCCAGTGTCCCCCAGCCCATCCCAGTGTCCCCCAGCCCATCCCGGTGTCCCCCAGCCCATCCCGGTGTCCCCCAGCCCATCCCGGTGNTCCCTCCGGTGCTGGGGCAGCTGCTGCAGCCACAAGGTGCAAACTCTCAGTGTTTCCCAGGTGTCCTGGTTTAGGGCAAATTTGGGACAAAACCTCCAAAAGGGGCCCCTCCAGCTGGGTAACCCACACAGCCTCTCTGCCCAACCAGTTCATGAAAGGTTCCTCAGAGAGAAGCGGAAAGAACCTGTTTATTTAACAGGCACAGCACCCCCAGCACACAAAATGAACAATACCGGGTGACACCACTGTTTCATGGCTCTGACAAAGATGACAAATTCAGAAAGTCTCTCTCTGTTATCAGTCCCTCCTGTGCTGGGGCAGCTGCTGCAGCCACAAGGTGCAAACTCTCAGTGTTTCCCAGGTCCCAGTCTGGAGCAGGTTCAAGTCGGTCCAAAAAAGGGAAAGGAGAAACAGCCCAGGGAAAATTTGGACTGCTTAGCTGAACTAACTAATGAGCAGAAGGAAAGTCAAGAACAAAGCAGGAGCAAGAGCAAAGCAAAAAGCAAAGGCAGCACCATGTCCTGCTCCACCTCTGTGTCCCACCAGCCAGGGGGGAGCGGCTGAGAGCAAAACCAAAACCAAAACAAAACTTTCACTCCTCAGAGCCAGTCTTGAAGGCACAGAACATGATATCCATAATAAACAGAACACACAGATGGGGATACAAACATCATAACGTCACCCCAGGACAGTGGGGAAGGGAGAGGGAGAGGTGGGGAAGGGCCAAGAGAGAATCTGTGGTCCCCCCACAGCTTAACAGGGAGATTCAGATTGGGTGCAGAATAAAACTTGGGCCAGTGGGATTGCAGATCCCTGATACTGCAGGGGAGGATCACAGGCTTGGAATAAATATTTTCAAGGGGTGAGACAGAGCAAACCATTGAACTAAAATGCAACACCACAATTCACCCTTTTTTCATTAGAAAGAAAAGATAAATATGACAATTAGCAATTTAAAGAACGAAGCAGCATAAAATGAAATACAATTGCAGTGAGGGTCATGTTTTAAACAGTCCCCTTGCCTTGCTGTTTGCCTTTGGTTGGTGTCAAAGATAAATGAGCATTTATGGGCACACCTCAGGAACAGTGGGGCTGTTCCTCCCCAAGCCTAGGGAGAAGTGGGGACAGGGGAGGTTTGGGAGGGTGAGGCACCTTCCTGAGTGGAGAAGCAGCTGCTGCAGCCTGGTGGGAGCAGGACTGGCCCTGTCAGTCCTTGCAGAGCCCGTTACCTTTGAGTGTGGATCTTATGACTCAGCCTGGGTGTGCAGCCCGTTCCAGCAGGATTCTGCTGGGCAGAGCAGGAATGCTGCTGTTTAGAAAGGCTCTGCTCAGTGCTGGCAGCTCGGCCTCCCTGCCTGGGCAGCAGCTCAGGCTCCTCTCTGTTGCCATTCCAGCACAGCTGCACCCCGAACCTCTTTGTGCAGAACGTCTTCGTGGACACCCACGACCTTCGCTTCCCCTGGGTCGCCTTCTTTGCCAGCAAGTGAGTCCTGGAGGGCTGGGAGGGGCTGAGGGCTCCTGGGCTGGGTGGGAGCTGCTCCATGGCCAGGGCTGGCTGGTCCCTGCTCCTGGAAACCCCATCCCCAATTTCATCATTCCTGTGCAAAGAAAACCTCGATGGAAGGTGAAATCTTCTCTATTGTGCTGGAGATCCTGCTGTGATTTCCACCAGTTTTAGCCCTTCCCAAAGGGCAGAGTGAGGCACGGAGCAGCCAATTTCCCTTTTTGTTTTACTCCCAAATTTTGAGCTGGGTGTTCCCTGCTCCTGGAAACCCCATTCCCAATTTTCATCAAAACCTCGGTGGAAGCTGAAATCCTCTCATGCTGGAGATCCTGCTGTGATTTCCACCAGTTTTAGCCTTCCCAAAGAGCAGAGTAAGGCAGTTTCCCTTCTTGTTTTATTCCCAAATTTTGAGCTGGGTATTCCCTGCTCCTGGAAACCCCCTCCCCAATTTCATCATTCCTGTGCAAAGAAAATCTTGGTGGAAGCTGAAATCCTCTGTCTCATGCTGGAGATCCTGCTGTGATTTCCACCAGTTTTAGATCTTCCCAAAGGGCAGAGTAATGCATGGAGCAGCCAATTTCCCTTTTTGTTTTACTCCCAAATCTTGAGCTGGGTATTCCCTGCTCCTGGAAACCCCATTCCCAATTTTCATCACTCCTGTGCAGAGAAAACCTCGATGACAGGTGAAATCTTCTCTATTGTGCTGGAGATCCTGTTGTGATTTCCACCAGTTTTAGATCTTCCCAAAGAGCAGAGTAAGGCAGTTTCCCTTCTTGTTTTATTCCCAGATTTTGAGCTGGGTGTTCCCTGCTCCTGGAAACCCCATTCCCAATTTAATCATTCCCTGTGCAGAGAAAATCTTGGTGGGAGGTGAAATTCTCTCTCTCGTGCTGCAGATCCTGCTGTGATTTCCACCAGTTTTAGCCCTTCCCAAAGGGCAGAGTAATGCATGGAGCAGCCAATTTCCCTTCTTGTTTTATTCCCAAATTTTGATCTGGGTGTTCCCTGCTCCTGGAAACCCCATTCCCAATTTTCATCAAAACCTTGGTGGAAGCTGAAATCCTCTCATGCTGCAGATCCTGCTGTGATTTCCACCAGTTTTAGCCCTTCCCAAAGGGCAGAGTGAGGCACGGAGCAGCCAATTTCCCTTTTTGTTTCACTCCCAAATCTGAGTCGTGCCGAGCCCCTGCCGTGTGCCTCTCTGCTCCTGCAGTGAATCCTCACAGCAATGATTCATCCCAGAGCTCGATCCCTTCCTCCCTGGCTGCCTCAGCCTCATCCCATCCTGGAGCAATCAGGATTGGTTGCTCACCAATCTCCTCACCTGTCCTGTGTGGGTTTTTGTCCTTTCCCAGGAGGATCCGAGCTGGCACGGAGCTCACCTGGGATTACAACTACGAGGTTGGCAGCGTGGAGGGCAAGGAGCTGCTGT